ACTCTGCGCCGCCTGTTTAACAAATGGTAAACAGGAAAATACCAGGATGAACTCTCATGATGGGGAGAGACCTCCTGTTGTAGATACCATTCTTTTGAACGGCAAAGAAGTGACCTGCTTGTTTGATACGGGTCTATTATTCGATGCCTTGGTTTCTACAGAACTCGTTGACCCAACGCAGTACACTGGGGAATTTATAGAGATGCAGACTGCTGCACAGGAGTCTGAGACATTAAGATTACCTCTTGCCAAGGTAAACATTGACTGCAAATATGTAAAAGGAACTATTGTCGCGGGTTGTCTCCCTAACCCAATATTTCCAGTTTTACTAGGATGCAAATATTTGTATCTTGCAGTTCCAAAGACGCCTATGCTAGTTGGGGCCATGGATACCCGGTCATCAACCAAAGCATCAGCAGTATCTGATCCAGAACCCCAGAATCCTTTACCAAAGGACATAAGTGCTGCGCAACAACAGGACTCATCATTAAAGTCCTGCCTCCGGAAGTTGCCTTATGCCCATCAACCTCCTGAAAGAGGAGACTTCTATATGAAGAAAAATTTATTGTATCGGAGAGCAGGGATAGCAGAACGAGAGTATGGCCAACTCGTTGTTCCCTTGCCCTACCGGAAAACTATCCTCCATATGGGACACACATTAGCATATAGTGGCCATATGGGGATAGCGGCAACTTCCCAAAGAATTTCCTGTCATTATTATTGGCCAGGAATGTCGGGGGACATTAGGAGATATGTAAGCTCGTGTCCAGAATGTCAACGAGTATCTCCGAGACATTCAAACCCGCCGGTAACATTGGAGGACATGCCTATTATCCATGAGCCTTTCCAAAGAGTTGCGCTCGACATCATTGGACCTCTGCCTCGGACGAGGAAGAGGAATGTTTATATCCTAACGATAGTCGATGCTGGCACGTTGTGGAGTGAAGTGGTAGCGCTGCCCACAATTGATGCCAAGAGAGTTGCAGATGCTCTCATTACAATATTTACTAGATTAGGATTTCCTAACCAAATCCTAACTGATAAAAAATCCCAGTTTCGGGGAAAACTGATGGATGATGTACTCCAGATTTTCCAGAACAGCCATATCCCTACGAGTCTGTACCATGCTCAGAACCAGGGAACAGCAGAGAATTTGACTAGACCTCTAGTCACTCTTTTGAGAGAATTGTCTCAGATAAAAGTAGACATGTGGGATGAATATCTTCCTGCAGCCCTCTCTGCATATAGGGAAGTTCCCAATACCACAACGGGTGTTCCTCCAGCTACCTTGTTGTTTGGTCGTCCAATTCAAGGGCCATTGTCAGCCTTGTTGCAGTCATGGACGAGTGAGAATTTGGACCAGACTGTGGTAACCACTTCCAAATACGTGGAAGAACTGAAAGCGAAATTAAAATTCGGATGGAACTTGGTTGGAAAATGCTGGAAGAAAATTAAAGCAAAGTTGACTTCTAATTTTAGAAGAAAGGTGAAAAGTAGGAATCTGAAAGTAGGAGATAAAGTTATGGTGTTGTTACCATCAGTCAGTGAGAAGATGGAAATTGGTTTTCAGGGACCTTTTCCTGTGGTGGATAAAGTTTCCCGCAGAAAGTTTGCCATTTCCATAAATGGGAAAGTAAGAAGTTTTCATATAAACTTACTTAAGAAATTCCAGGAGAATATGTTTGGTTCTCCGTAACGGAGGTTATCCATTTAGCTAATGGGGTAATGAATCTTGAGGTAGTGATATTGCATGGAACAGGTAACAATATCTAGATACACACATAATATAATCAATGTCAAATGATTTCTTGAAATAAAAGAATTGTATATATCAAATTCAGTTCTCAAGAGAGTAAGGACACGATCCTTGTGGGAGACTCCGCACAGCGCAGCCATCCCTGACTGAATAAATGATACCTTCTATTATAAAGAAGGAAAGTAGAGTCACTAGGTCACTAAAATATTAAATTAGTTTGCCGACTTTAACTTAATGATATAAAATAATTCTTCCTTTACGTTCGGGTCTCAAATGAGCGAGAACATGTGCCATGTGAGAGGTTTTGCTAGCTAGCTGGGAATCCTCCCTGACTGAAAAGTTTTCGGTTCTCGAGCGAGCTTGGTCTTGATTCTTGTAGGAGATTTCGTCAGATGACCGAAATTCTGCCCTAACCGAATGAGATGATCTAGATACACATATAAGCACCGGAATTCCAGCAATCACTGTGAAATACATGTAGGCTCCTCCCAAGATGAAGTAACCTCTTTTGTTGAGAACTCTCCGTTTATTTTTAAACATCATAATTCGGGCACAATGTCCACAAAATTAAAATTTTATACACATAAATTTTATATGTGCATAGTGGATGATGAAATGTGTGAGATTGCAAGAAAATAATAATTTGATTTTTAACTCTTTGGGAACTGAAATTTCCTCTATTTAAATTTCGTAACTGAAATTTTCTTTTCCGGGGGCATATGTGGCAAAACCAAGGATAATTTCAGTCCGGCAAGAGTTAATTGCAAGTTTTAGTTAAAAGAATTGCGCACGTAAAATAAATATATTTAAACATAGACGCTAAAAGAATAAAAAGGTACAAAGGCGCACATAATTTATGACGTTTTGTGGTGTTACTAGGAGACCTAATTTCGTCACAACACCGAACGATTGCCAGCCATACCATCGGCCTAACACCCACAATAAAAATACCATATACAATTTCAGGTGAGATTTATAATGGTAGGGAGTAGCTGAGATCCCCTATAAGCCTTAGCTGTATCCTAAAATATGTTATTGAGATCCTACTATTCTTTATTCTACCATTGTATAAATAGTCCGTGACTTCATCAACCTTGATACTTGTCCGTTGGACAATTCACTAGTCCTTACATATTATGACGTTCTCAAAGTTACTATTCCCCGTTAGGACTATTCAATAGCGAACCCTTCTTCCCTCTGTCACTCTTATATTCATTCGGTCTACTTGCGTAAAGATCTTATAGTAAAAACCATTATCCTGTGCCATGTGGTATCATCAGTCGGGTATACATTGCATTGTTTATGTTATTAGATTATGCAACACATGATTTGAGTGAAAGTAGTCAGCATTGTGGGCATATCGGGTTGGCCTATGTGTTATAGACCAATTGGTACCTGGGTGTTGATGTGGTCAACATCACACCTGCCGCCTTTACTTCCCATTACTATACCTGGTGTCCGTTAAGGCGAAGTCGACCTGGGTTTTGGGACTCGAACTAATAACTGTCCAATCCGCAGGCGAATGTGTGTCCGCTTAATTATGTCAAGTTTTATATGATCGTGCCATAAATTAGATAGATAAACCAACATATTATAATAGGGTGGAGATGTATAATTTTGATTTACTTGTAGGGAAAGACAACATATGAACCTTGTTCTTTCTTGCTTACTACTCTGAAAAACACCACAGACACCGCAACACCTCCACCTGCTCCAGATGTGTCGACATAATGCTCAACACAGGGCTGAACGATGTATTCCGCAGGTTCCCGTGCTCCCGTATTCCCGTTTCCTGTATGCCTGTTACCTGTGGATTGTGAACCACCATCACTGTTACCTGTGGATCGTGAGCTGTTCCCTTGTGAATTGGGAACCAGACGGTATAGAATGAACAACCGAGATCTCACGGATGAATGTCGCAGTTAGGCGAGGACTATAACAGTCGCAGTCAGAGCTTTGTACATTCCTCCCAGAGAAGCTGCAGTTGGACACATCCCGTATATCGTAAAGCTGAGTGTTATTGACTATTTGTGAAACTTTGTGGTGTATGATGAACTATTAATTGTTTCTTTTGTTTCTTAATTTAAAATTGTTAAAATTCCTAACAATATTTATCAATACAGTTGTTATTTAGAAACTCCATTTATCGATTTCATCCTATCAATTTTAACTTCTTAGGTAGACTAAAGATTGTTCATTGCAATTTATTTGAGTTAAATTTACAAAGTTTTGACTTTGGTTGTTTTCTGAATTTCTTTAGGAAATTTCCGGGGATTCACCCTATTCTTTCACTTTCTGTATTCTCCTTCCTCTATTTTCCAGAACTCAGGGACCGTTATAATTCCCCTAGACTTATTTAATTCGAGCCCTGTAAGTTATTTGGAAGGATATAGGGGATCTCCAGGCGACGATAGATTCCGCCAACAATAGTTTGATTACATATATATATATATATATATATATATATATATATATATATATGTGTGTGTGTGTGTGTGTGTGTGTGAAAAAATATATATATTTATAAAAAATCAACCAAGAGGTTTTGAAAGAGGCGGAAGCCCGAAGACAACTTATCACAGACATCAGAAGAAGACAGACATCATTTTCGACCATGTTATGAGAAGAGGGAAAATAGAACAATTTGTGACCACTGGAAAGATCTGTGGAAGGAGGCATAGAGGAAGATAACTACAGAAGATTCGTGATAGTCTTGTTGCATGGCATGGAGGTGTGTCGGCACACGAACTGATACATGGCGCAGGAGATTGTGGATTATGGCGAGGCATGATCGCCCACGCCAGTCGGCAAGGCACCTGATGATAATATATAAAATGAGCAGGGAGAAGATATATATAGAGATGTGAGAGAGAATATATATATGTGGGTATATATATATATATATTATATATAAATATATATATATATATATATATATATATATATATATATATATATATATATATATATATATATATATAGAGAGAGAGAGAGAGAGAGAGGTCAGAAAATATATTATATTATGTATATGTATATATATATATATACAGAGGTGAGATGAGTTCTATATAAAGTGAGTGACGAGACAGAAGATATATGTATAGTGAGAGCAAGAGAGAGAGAGAGAGAGAGAGATAGAGATAGAGAGAGAGAGAGAGAGAGAGAGAGAGAGAGAGAGAGAGAGAGAGAGAGAGAGAGAGAGAGAGAGAATTAGATAGAAAGATTATTAAGCTATCCAACAAACCTCTCATTTTTCAGGACGTTATTTGCACCTTTGAATACACCAAGTAAATGGTTGACCATTGCCCGCTTTCTGCCCAGCTCCTTGAACATGCTGGTAAATAGACAATATCAGGGGGAAATAGCATGGAACAGCAAACAAATGCTCATTGGAATGAACAAAATATTTATAGACCATGGACCCCTGCGGGTTCCAGTGCCCCATTCTGAGAATGGGAAAAAATAGACTAAGTGCTTCCTAACAAGCATGCCGCAAAGGCGAATAAAAAAGGGTGTGCTGAAGTCAGGTGTGTTGGGCTGATAATCGCAGGGGACGTAGAAACCCGAACTCAGGCAGGCGAATCTTTGGGGTAAGAGGTGAGGGTGGAGGGCAGGAAGGGGGAGGGGGTGGGGGTGGGGAAGGGGTGGGGGACGGGCGGGTTCGCCTACTTTTAAATTTCTAGAGTCGAGCTCGATAGGCCTAATTCTTGTTTAAGTTTTCAATAATGATAATAATAACTACTACTTATACTACTGCCACCATCACCACTAATACTAATGCTACTGGTACTACTGGTACTACTGCTACTACTGCTACTATTGCTACTACTGCTACTACTGCCACCACTAATACCACTACCAATACTACTGCCACATCTACCACTACGACTACTACTACTAATACTACCACCACCACCACCATCACCACCATCGTAACCTTCCACGGGTGTGCAGACAGCGGTATGATACCATCTATCCTCATGGAGGCTAACTCACCTTTTGTACTTGTCCAGTTCAGGATCGTCAGATGCCCATCGTGAAGTTAAGCCCTCTGCCCTGTTAACTTCAGCGTTTAAAGCTTCACATAGACTGCTGTGTATGCCCATACAGTTGATTCTGTAGTCAAACATTCAAAGAAAGTAGAGACACCAATCATAGACGTAAAAGTAAACTTAAGTACTTTTCTCCACGCCTTTAGGCGTATGGGGCACATAGGCCTAGACCTATTTTTTTAATAACCAATCGGCACAAGATGGGTGATGTGGTCAGCATCACACCGGCCGCCTTTACTTCTCGGGACTGCACCCGGTACTCACTCAAGGCTGGGTCATTGACGCGATTTTGCGAATTGGTTTTATACTTGTATCGTGAATGGTAATCGGAGCCTTTTAACTCTTACTGTAGCATGCAATCCCCATATGTTAATTACTTAGTACAAAGACAGTACACATTTGTGATTCTTTTTTTTTTTTTATCATGGCCTACTTTTGCATAAACTCATTATTTTGTATTTGTTATACCCCTGCACAAAGAATTGTTTTTTCCTCAAGCCTTTGCATTCAAATGTTAGCTACTTTAAATACCCACTTCTTACATAAAGATTTAAAGTAATTGCAGACTAGCAAGACTCAACCACCGCATCGCATCATAATCATCATCCTGTGTGCTGTTTATAAATGGCTTTCAGTGGATTCTTAAATTGGGGCCAGCGCGTGCTACGGAGGTGGAAGTCCAACAGTTGATTGACGAAAATTCACGCCCTGGTGATCTGAGTATCTATACAGATGATTCGGTGTTGAGAGGAAATGAAAGTGCCTGGGGTTTCGTAGCGAAAGCGAATGTAAAATCTTTAGTGCAGGACAGCCTACCATACGACATCACAACATCTAGCATGATAATGGAGGTGGAGGCGTTATGCAGCTCTCCGGTGGCTAGAGAACAAGATGCATACACATTTCGTAATTGAAAAAGCATCTGAAGGCATGCTGAGATAGGTGAAGACAGGGATGCTTCAAGCAGAGTGGCAAGCTTCACTGGAAAGGTCACGGGTAGTTATGCCGGTGTAGTGGGTAATGAACAGGCAGACAGATTCGCTGGATCTGCACCACTGGGTGGTGAATTGATACATGACAAGGCAGATGTGGTCAATGCCCTTTGGGAACAAACAACGGAATCAGCAGAGAAACAAGATTATTATGGCCTGGAGAGAATGAGGCACCTGGGTGTAACCAGAGGTTCTGACTAGCTCACTACACTCAGGGGAAAAGCAAGACGGACATATAACCAGATTGTGACCGGTACTATCAGTATTGGAACTCTTCGCTGGCTGCTGAAGATGAGGACGAAGCACGCATGGGATGCCCAGAGTGCTGTGATGTCAATTCTTGACTCAAATCAACTCTTAAATTCGATTCTATCAACTGCAGTTAGCGCCATATCGTGGATGGAATCCAGCGCAGCTGGACTGGCTTATCACCAACCTATGTCGTAGGGTTTCATTAGGTCGTCTTCGGTTTCCAAATCCATGTTTCAGTTCCATTCCATTGTCTCCTGAGTTGTTCAATTTACTGCAAACTTCTTTGTCATATGCCAACGGTTGTCCAGATATTTATTTCTGTATTATTATAGCATCATAGGTTATGTATTAAGGTATTTAATGTGTAAAAATAGTTAAGTTTCCTTACTCGGAGGATCGGGTTGGGGGGGGGGGGGGGAGGGGGGGAATTCTGAAATGGATCGCCAATGAAAGGGGCTACAAGAAAAGTGAAATATATTTACAATTAATGACAACGGGGAAAGACTGAGCGACTCCTGCACGGCGAATAGACTTGTTATAGGAGGAACACAATTTTCTCACAAGGATATACACAAGCTTACATGGATATCTCCAAACAGAAATGTAAACCAGATCGACCATTTTATGGTAAACGGAAAATGGCATGGGTCCCTACGCGATGTGCGTGTCAAAAGGGGAGCAGATGTGGGAAGCGATCATCACCTTGTAGTTGCTCTACTACGACTTAAATTCAAAAATGTTTACACGCAAGTTAAGACACAGACAGCACGTTACAATGTTAACCTTTTAAGAGAAAAAGACATTGCCACTAAATTTATAGCAGAACTCAAGAATAGATTTCAAACCCTATCAAGTGACCCAGAAACTCCAACCACAATCAGAATTCAAGACAGATGGAACCAGATCAAAGAAACATACAAATCAACTAGCAATAACATATTAAGAACCAGGAAACAACACCATGGTCTCCACGATTACATTGTGGCAAGTAGAAAGTCCATGCAACAAGTGACAGCACGAGATACTTGTGGCTAGTCGAGTAAGCGAATGGAAGCCCTAGCTAGACTCGTGGTCAGTGGATCAACAGAAGTCGAGGAAGACGGTTGTATTTGGTTGAAGATGTCGTCTTTATGTCGCGCGAATGGTTAGTGTTCGAATATGTCGCGAGTGATAGAAGTGTGAATAATTATTGAAGCATGGGGAATAAATGTAACTGAATAAACTGACAGTATGTACAAAGGAGCTGAGTGGAGTTTGTGTTTTCAACCCTAGATGTTAAAGTCGGTGTAAACCAAGAATCATTTCAAGTAAAGCCAAGGTTCATTTCACGGAACCAGATCAAAGAAACATACAAATCAACTAGCAATAACATATTAAGAACCAGGAAACAGCACCACAAAGAATGGATAAGTAGTCAAACCATGGACTATATTGCCAAGTGAAAAAGAATAAAGAGCCTCATAAATCACACTAACTCAGTACGTCAGAAAGACACTATTGTTAGAATATAGCGAACTAAATAAAATGACAAAGAAAAGTGCCAGAGCTGACAAGAGATGATTTATGGAAAATCTTGCAGAAACAGCAGAAAATGCTGCTAAAGCACATGATCTACAAACCCTACACAAAATTACCCAGCAAATTTGCGGAAACAGAAACAATTATCACAGCATACCCATCAGAGATAACCAAGGCAGACTGCTCACCACAGAACAAAAACAAAACATGCAGTGGACTAAACACTTCTCCGACCTCTTGAACAGACCTGATCCTGAAAATCCCCCAGATATTCAACCAGCCTCTCAGGACATTGACATTATTACTGAACCACCAAGCAAACAAGAAATCCTTAAAGCTATCCACAATTTAAAGAACAACAAAGCACCAGGCAAAGACGAACTGCCAGCAGAACTTCTCAAAGTAGATCCCAACACAACTGCTTGCATTCTAGAATCATTATTCAAGGATATTTGGGAAAAAGAAGTGTTACCTGATGACTGGACTGAAGGAACAATAGTCAAAATCTCAAAAAAAGGAGACTTAACAGACTGCAATAATTGGAGGGGAATTACTCTACTCTCAGTACCAAGCAAAATATTTTGTAAAATCATCATAATGCGGCTTGAAAAAGGAGTAGATAAATGCCTACGAGTGGAACAAGCAGGATTCAGAAAGGGCAGAGGAACAACTGAGCACATCTTCGCCAAATGTAACAATGTTACTAACATTTTAGAACAATGCAATGAATGGCAGAGAAGTATATATATAAATTTTGTGGACTTTGTGAAAGCTTTTGACAGCGTCCATAGAGACGGTCTGTGAAAAGTTTACGACATTATGGAATTCCAGAAAAAATAGTCAACATAATTGCTCTCTTCTTTAAAGACTTTTCCTGCAGTATAAAAAATTACAATACATCTTTCCCAGTAAAGACGGGTGTAAGACAGGGATGTGTTATGTCATCTCTCCTCATCAACCTTGTGACTGATTGGATACTAAAGAACACAGTAAACAGGATATTAAGAGGCATACGATGGACTCCATTCACCATGCTTGAGGACCTTGATTTTGCAGATGATATAGCACTCCTATCACATAAACATGAACATATACAAGAGAAAAGTAACAGACTACACTCCACAGCAGAAATGGTGGGACTGATAATAAATACAAAGAAAACTAAGATCATGACAAACAGTCCAAACCCAACAACCAGTGACCATAAGTAACCAATCACTTAAAAATGTAGAACATTTCACATATCTTGGCAGTGTGGTGTCCCTACTGGGAGGGACAGAGGAAGACATGAAGATGTGTACAAATAGGTAAGTATCCTTACTTGGAGGGTCGGGGAATTATGAAATGGATCGCTAATGAAAGAAGCTACAAGAAAAGTGAAATATTTCAGGCAAATGAAAATGCATGTCACTGTTTGTTAATCAGTAATAATTGTATATTAATGTTTTAACTGTTTGAGAAGGAGAGCATCGACAGTACTGCACATGGTCTTGTCGCATAAGGTTTTATTTCCCTTCGCAGAACGGCAGCCACACTAAACGTGAAGGCCAGTCTGGACATGATATTTATACAAGTTAAAAGTAAAGGACCCTTTTCCACTCCTTCTGGTGACTTGGGCACATAGGGCTAGACGTATATTTTATAGACTAATCTGGACATGGTGGGCGATGTGGTCAACATCATGCTGGATGCCTTTACTTCCCAGGACTGCACCTGGTACCCACTCAAGGCTGGGTCGACCTTGGGGCCTAGGTCATTTCTTAAAGAAAGATCACTTCTCTCAGGTTCCGAACCCCGACCTTCTGATCGGCAGGCGAGAGTCTAGCCGCTACACCACAGGAGCTTCCGCTATATAATTCTCCATAAATATTTCCTGTCAAAAATTGAATAGTGCTCACATTACAAAGTACTTTTTGTTTTAAGCATACATAGATAGAAAAAAAAAAGCAGAGAAGAGGCACCATAATAAATCACCATAAAAATCAAAGCTGTACTGACCAATCAGAACATCAAACTTCTGACAAAGACGATCCAGTGAGAAAATAGGAAAAGAAGAGGAAAAAAGAATTAAAACTGTCATTGCCATATACTGTATCTAGCACAAACATAAATCATGTCAACTGTATACAACTTACAGAGCTTTGCTGATGTCCGCATCCAAGGCTTTCATAGAACCGGTGACATCAGACATCTGTGATCGTATATCGTCCATCCTGTCTATCAGTCTGTAACATCGGTGATAATGTAATAACAATTGCATTTACTTAAAGATTGAGAACACATTACTCCTCTTTTATGATCAATTTTTTTTAATGTTATGGAATTGGGGGGGGGGGAGGGGAGGGCCGTGGAGCTCTTGCCATGTACTTAAAGCGGAGCGCCACCTGAACAGAGCTGGACAGCACTGGTCTATGTCCTGCCACAGGCCATCTCTCACTAACCCGGAGTCAACTGAGTAGTTTAGTTGCTCCCCTTAACCTGTCGTACATGCCTTGTTTTAAGCCTTACGACCACATAAAGTCACACGAAACTTTAAATCTTTCAAACACTTTAAGATACCACACATGTGTATTCGGGAGTCGCCGTAGCGTTGGCAGCTAGACGTCCGCCTGCGTATCGGAAGTTCGTGGGTTCGCGTCCTGAGGGAAGCCCGACTTGTTTTCAAAACTGACCTTGACTCTCATGACTACCCAGCCTTGAGTGAGTACGAGGTACAGTCCTGGGAAGTAAAGGCAGTCAACCTAATGCTGACCACATCATCCACCAAGTTCCGATTGGTCTATAAAAAAATATCTCTAGCCCTATATTCCCAATACGTCTAAATGCGTGGAAAAGGGACCATTACTTATGCACATGTATATTCGTGAAATGTTTCTGTTATAAAAACAGGACACAATCTCGGCAATCGTCCTCGTTGACCTTGTAAAGACTTTAAGAAGAAGCCGTTAGGATCGATTCTTGACCTTGCCCGTCACACACACACACATGTGTGTGTGTGTGTGTGTGTGTGTGTGTGTGTGTGTGTAACAACGAATGAACTGTTTGACATTTAATAAGTAGCTTAGTTTGGGAAAAAAGAATGAACAACAATAAGCCCGCAGAGACAACAATGCATCATTGCTAAGATTACCTCTCAAATATTACAAATTTAATGTAATAAAAACATGATGTTAAAATACTCAATATACCGTGTTTACAAATGGGAAATGGAAAGTTTTACCAATAGCAGAATCTAAAGCCTGTATATCCAAGGCCGAACTATTATTGTTTTTAATAATAAACAAAAGACACAAACACACACACACACACACACACACACACACACACACACACAAACACACACACACACACACACACACACACACACACACACTGAAAACAAAATACCCAGATTTCTTAAAATACTAGAGAAAAGAAAAAAAGATATAAAATCTTTGTTAAGTTCGGATACAAATTATCAGTGGGGCCGAAGAAGACACATATCATGGACAGTAGTTAAATTTAGAAATGTTTGTGGGTCTCAGTACGGAAAGAGTAAAACTGGAGAGCACAACAACAGCTAGAGAAACAAGAAAGAGATCCAGGGATTGAATAAAAAACACTTTTTTTTTTCCACGTCATGGAAGAGTTTCAGCACTTGACCTTGTACATGTTTTTGGAGGTTGTGAGATGTGCAGAGGTATGGTTCTCTCATGCCAATAACTTAACACGGAAAGTTGCTTACGTGCACTGTTTCTCAATTTAGACTCAAAGGGAAAAGCATATAGTGTACTTATGTGCTCTGTTTCCAACTTCTGATGCAAGGTCAAAAACTATTGTGTACACCATACACGTCCTGTTTCTCACCTCTGACGTATGTGAAAACGTATAGTGTATTCAATGCTCAGCTGCTCACATATAACGAAAGGTGAAAACGTATACTGTACTTACGTGCTCTGTAAACTACTGTCATCACTTGCAGACGCAGCCGAAACAGACCCCTTTGACAAAAGAGCCACAATGATTGTCAGGATTGCCGTACACGATTCCAGCTCCATTGTGAAAGAAAAGATCTGTTCATAGAATAGTTAAAAGAACTTAATATTGAATTTACATGTCTTGATGCTTCTTCTTCTTTTCTTCTTCTTCTTCTTCTTCTTCTTCTTCTTCTTCTTCTTCTTCTTCTTCTTCTTCTTCTTCTTCTTCTTCTTCTTCTTCTTCTTCTTTGCGTTCACCGGCTGTAATTAACGGCGGAAAGTACTGGTCGTTTCTTCACCTCAGTGCTGTAGACATTATTCTAGAACATGATTGTTGCGTGCACATCCGTTTTACAGATGTAACTTATTTCTATGTAGGCTCTTGGGGCCTTGCCTCTTAGGCAGATGTACTCCGACGTCGAAGGATGCCCCCAAATAGTCGACTACTACGACATGCTTGTTCGGGAGGGGGTGAGTCTACTCTTGTTTTCCCAAAATGGGGCCACTGAGCCAACCCCCGGGAGATGTCTTGATATTACAGCAGATTATTTGATTCTACTCAGTATGTATGAGGATCATGTCATGTTTTGATATTACATATAAAATACAATAAAGATTAAGATATTATATAAATGGAACAAGCAAAGTCATGTAGGCGATCATGTATTTGCCCAACACCTGTCTCATATTTGTGTTAAAAGTTCCACTACTCTCTTCTAGTTTTTAATATGGCGGATACGGTATGCAAGTGTGTAGAGACATGAACAGGCAGATAAATTGTCTGGTACTGCCCTGGCTTGTGACTTGATGTAAGACACGCTGGATGTGGCAACAAGTAAATAATTCCGGGGCACCTGAGAATAGTATAGCTTTGATGACCAAGGGATACGGCTATTACTCTACATTCAGTAGAAAGGCAAGACGGACATATAATCAAACTGTTACTGACATCATCAGAGCAGCATTGATTCAATAAACAAAGAATTTAACTTCTGATCAAATGTTTTGTAAGCCATATATATATATATTATATATATATATATATATATATATATATATATATATATATATATATATGTGTGTGTGTGTGTGTGTGTGTGTGTGTGTATGCGTGTGGGCAGTTGTTTTAAAGATGTTTTAATTTTTTTGTTTAATTAAATATGTGGTCCTTTTGGTACGTTTTGGAACCTTTTTAAAACAAATTTGGACAACCCCCCCCCCCCCCTTTTCCCTTTCCGCCTACCCCTTTCAAAGAAAATTTGGCAGCCATGGGCTAATAGTCTTTGCGTAGCACAGTCTATTGTCATTCTATGTAATTTTGTTTCGTAAATCCCTGTTCCTCTAGGACGCTCTCCTGCTTTCGCACAATTAACGCCTATTGACAACTGTCAATAATTTTATGATCAACTAACCTCCATATACATCTTCAGATTTGTTGGCTGTGAATGCAAGTTTAAACACGTCAGGATCAACTTCATTGAATTGCGTTTTACCCACATGGGTTTGTATCTACCTGTGGGTCGTCTAAAAGCCTTGCACAAAGGAAAAACTGTAGCTTTATCAGCGACCCCCATGAATTTCTGAAACATCTGCACTTACCAACCGAGAACCAGAGAACTAAGTCGACCCACAGACTTCAAAGCTATACACAACACAAAAGGAACGCGTCTCAAAAGATGCCGCTCTTGAATGGCAAAGGCTGAGGATTTAATCTAGCAAGTATATGACCTAGACGTGATCAGTCACAGAAAAGAATGGATGATTACACCAGTAGACATGCATGGCAACTCTAAGGTTGTCATCACACTCGGAAGGTACTGCAGGGACCAAATTACTGCGGCCGAGGACACAGAAGTAATGGAACTGATAGGTCAGCATTCAGACCCAGAAGATATCATCATCTAAACAGATATATCTTTGAAGCGCGGATCAAGGTCAGCATGGGCATACACAGCGCAGAGAAGGGGCAAAACAATACAGGAGGACGGCGGCGCTTAACAGACAACGACGTCAAGCATAACCATGGAAACAGCCGCTGCTTCTAGAGCTTTAGCATGGATATCCGAGCAAACCGCCACACAGGCAGTTATTGTATCAGACTTCGTGAATATACTTTAGAAGATAGCAACAGGCGGTATGCGCTCTGAATGGGGAAGTGGGGGGGGGGGGGGGGGGGGTAGAAAGCATTAGAAAATCTCACTCAACCTCCGTAACTTGGATCTACATACCGGGTCATGCGAGCGTAAAGGGAAATGAGCGAGCGGACCAACTGGCAAGCACTGCACTAAGGATTGCGGGAAAAAGAATGGATAGAGCAGATATCTTCAACGCTGTACAGACTAAGCTTGTGGGTAAGGAGGAATCCCTGACAGTAACACGATTGCATGACATGGGAGTAAAACATGGTGAAGCACGTCTTTGCCGTCTTCGAGGCCGAGATAGGAGACAATATAACCAGCTTCTCATGGGAACAACTAGTAAAAGTACTCCGGAGTGGCTGCTGCATTGGAGGACTGAGCACGCATAAGAAATGCCTAATGTGCATTGACGTCGAAATTGGTAACATAACATAACATTTTGTAGGGAGTCGGCAGTCCGAAACCCAAGTTCAAGGTGTCTCCTTCGTGCCAAAGAACTGCATGGCTGTTGGGTGAACAGTCATTAACGAAGGCAGTCAGGTTGTTGTAAGGAAAACGCTTGCTGGTGGATGTATTGCCCTAAGTCCCTTGCCTAGCTAATAGTGAGGGTACTACTGGGGTGACCGTTTATTAAGCCTCACATAATGCTTCAGGTCAAAATGAATGCTAGGCACAGCCACTTTTTTGAGCCGTGTCAAATTTTCTTTTTTGTTAGCTTCTACCAAACGGTGGCTGTTGCATTTTTGCTCCATTTCTAGACTGGAAGGATATAGTTTCGTTGAGTGCCTGGCGTGACACTGTGAGCTGTGGATATGATTTGAAGTTTTTTTTTACTGTGACCAACGTGGTGGTGTGAATTGTAGATTTCGAAAATGGGCGATGCAGGTTGGCGCAATATTAGTGGTGGCATTATGTGATTAAAATTGATCGCGTGTGCAACTGCTGATCTGTTGGTGACTTCTGCTGCTCAACTAGTGCTACCATCCATGATGAACTGCATTTCCAACATCGGACTGTTTGTGATAGCACTTCGGATGGCTACAGAAAGCTTTTAATGCGTGTGTATGCAAACGCATATGCTGAGAAAGCAATCTGTCAATCGTTCCACAATGGACTGTGATAAACATTTTTTTTCTTCGAATTTTTCGTTTTCACAGGACAGGAGCAACTGTGGGGTGACCCATTTGCTAAGAAGTTGAAACTAAGATTACCAGATTACCAAATTTAGAGCACAATGAAAACAGATTAGCCGCTTCGCCAGAATAAACATGACACCAGTCACTTGTAATTCCAAAGAATGATTGAAATAGATCACAGTTTCCCTATTCCGCTAAATTACATGGCCAGAGAAAATAAAGTCCACCAAATAGGCACGATGTTTATCCATTTCATAAAATGATCGCATTTCACGACTTGCTTTAGACATTGACATGATCTGAATATATTTGTAATTTGTTTTAGTCGCGACTCATACTCCTATGTTCCCTTGTGTCTTTGGGTTAGTCCATTCCCTAGAAAACTAACCGGGCTATTTCCATATAAAACTGCGACAGCTAACATGATGATACAAGGTCAATTGTTATCGGATTTCAAACACGCAAATGGATTCTTGAAAGTATAAACCACATACCATACATGATCATCATTACCATCATCATCATCATCATCGATCTGCTCTTCCGTTTCTATATCACACAGTGCGGTAGATCCCTCCATTCCCTTGTCCTGTGCAATATTGTCAGTATCTTGTCAGTATCTTGAATCTAATCAAGTACCGCACTTGTCTGCAGCTGTGTCCTCTATCGCTAATCTTTGGAATCGTCACAAAATTTGCCAACGCCTGTTTTCTCATTTGGTGACCAAAAATTACTGTTTGTCTTTTTTTTTTAATAGTTCCTTTTTGTGTCACTTTCTGTAGCCACTTCCATGCATAATAGTTTGCGATGTTGGCATCTAAGGAGTTTGCAACGATCGTCTCCCAAGAATCTTCGTTGCTGCACGTCTTTCCTAATTCGTTTGTTCACATTCCGCGTTTTACAACAAAGCAACACTGACTGGATATATTTCCAATTTTCTGTTTCTGATATTCAATAAAAATGCCAAATAGAAATGAGGACAACCATAAGGCTTGTTGTGCTATTATATGCCACATAGGGCTCACAGTCTACTCCATTCCATTCCGTTCTTGTAATCTCTTCGATATCAAGGATGGAATCCCATCCAGCACCTTTAGCTTCTCTCATCACTTTCAGTCTGAGGTTTTTTTTTTAACGTCTTCGCTTGCTTATTCCATTTATTGTCCATTGTAATGCATGTAAGAAAGAGACAAACACTGTTCTTTGGCCACATAATGAGAAGAGAGACACTGCAGAACATCGTGACAACTGAAAAGTTCAGTGGAAAAAGGGGTAGAGGCAGACCAAGAGAGTTGATGCTGGATCGGCTTAAACGATAGCAATGAGGACTATCATCAAGAGAGCTGTTCCAGATAACCAGGGATCGTGATCTGTGGAAACGCATGAGCGCTTACGCAAGTTGACAGTGCACGTGATGATGATGATGTAGTACATATCTGACAATTATCAGCTCGTTTTTGTTTTCTCAGAGTGTGTGTTTAATATTGTGCAATCTTCTTTATCTTATAACTGTTTTTATTATTTGCTGACCAAAGATTTATGTTATTTTATTCTCCTTTTACCATATATTGTATTAGTGGTATCAACATGGGTTCTGAAATCCGTTATAAAAATTAGCTTCGGCACTGATTCGAACCCACAAACCGCTGAGAGGGAAACGTCTAACCACAAAGCTCTCACACACCCCCTCTCTCCCACTCCACAATACATAATAAGCCACTTATGCAGGTAAAAAAAAAAAAAAACATCTCTATGTAAATATCAACGTCACATAACGGCTGTCGATTTCCTGTCGCCTTTCACCTTA